ACACGCTCAACGCTAGTGTAAAACGTAGGGCTGTTTCATTCTTAATCAGCGTAGCCATGTGCGTGCTTACACTATATTTTATACAAAGTCAAAGCCTACCCGTCTGCATCGTTTTCATTTTTGCACACCACTACTTGCGCGCGTGAATCACTAAATTAAGACTGGCACAGGAAGTCACAAAAACAATTTACAGGGTTGTTTTTTTTTACCGCAAAAATAAACTACGCGTTGCCTAACGCTCATTCTCCGCCCAAAGGTAGCGCTAAGTCACGACCAGATGCCAAAGTTTCATCCCGAATGGACACCTTATTCAAAAGTTATAAGTGATTTTCTAAAAATTCCAATGTGAAAACTGGAGCCCATTTTTGGCCTGTTTTTCGTTTCTGGTGCCCATAGAGCCCCATGTATTCGAAAACTCCGTCGGCCGCTATTTTCCCATTGAACTTTTCAGAAAATCACCTATAATTTTTGAATAAGGTATCGTATTGGGCTGAAACTTTGACATCTGGTTGTACCTCTAGCGCTGCCTATGGGCGGAGAATGAGCTTTCGGCGATGCCTAGTTTATTCTTGCGGTAAAAAGAAACCCTTATTTTTTTCTTTTGTGACACCCTGCAAGTTGCCTAAACTATGTGGAAAAGCTATCAACAGACCCAGAATCTTTGCCTGGTCAGTCATTGCATTTATCACCGAATTCGTATTAAAATTAATAATTATTCTTTATTGCTGTGAGTTTATTTTTAACCTAGGCATTTTTTATTATGACCCCCGCACCAGTCCTACTTCGGGTTTACCAAACTCAACATCTAAACCTGAGTGTCATTTTTTGTGTTTTTCAGTCTCGTGGTTTGGGTCAAAATAAACTCCCAGCTACCTAAATGAGACACCTGACCGCCCAAAAATAGTCTTTTCTTTTATGTAGTTAATTCCTCAAGCTAGATTTTTGGAATTTAAACTATGACGTCATCACGTTTTGCTGGAAATCCACAAAGATCCAAACATATGCACGATAAAAGGGCCAGCCCGTCATATTGCCGCCCGCAGAGCCGAGAAAGCAACGCTCGGTCACGGACTTCTGGAAGATTCGCGTTCATTATTGCACAGACGGAACTTTCGCCCTGTTTTTTTGTCCTCGAAAGTGCCAGTTCATCCTCACGCTCGAACCTTCTTTGCCGAACTTTCGAGATGGTGACGTGACGCACTCTAGATAAGCAGCTGCCAGCGACCTTGTCGAGTCAGTCTCGCTCTCGCTCTTTGTTACGCTGCCGAATCGCCGCCTTCTTTTCTGCTGCCTCGACGCTCTTTGTTTAGTCTTTTTTTTTTGTAACAAGTTCGCCGATTAAACCTTTATTTTTCAGTTCACTGTTTGTCCTCTCGTCACCTTCATTCGTGTTAGTATAAATCTGATCACATTGTAATATGTGTCATTGGCCTCTGAAATCTCCGGATAACGGCGCACAGGCAATTTTATATTTTTCAACGCGTCGGTAGTTTTGTTGTGCATGTGTCTCGCCATTTGGCTCAGGACGATTTTCGCGTTTTGTTTTGCCTACATTTGCTGGAGACGTGAGCTCGGAGCGTGGCAACTGGCCCCCTTGCACGAGAACTGGCGCAGCCGTGCGCGTTCCAAAGGAAGCTCGTGCAGAGAAAACCAAGCAAGGAACCAGGGATGTCAAATTCTGGATATAGAAGAATATCTAACTGTATCGAAGCGCCACCACACACGATTTCTCGCATTAATGTACAGGCCTGGAAGGCGATCCCACCGCCATCTGTTGGTTCAGAATCACACTAACCAGGGGTGAGGTTGCACCTTAAAAGAAACTTTCTTTATTTGTATGACGTTCAGTACACTTTGAATTTGACCCCGTTACAGTGGCCAACATCCCAGGTCATCGTCGAAGCTATCAGAGAAAGATATATCTATGATGCGGTGTCAACCTCCCTCAGTGCCGCTTCCTCACCAACCGCGTGCCGCACAAAATTTTCCCATTTCTCTGCAGTCACTTGATTAATAGCTTCATCTACTAGAGGTCCCAGTTGGGCCATCTTGAATTCTTTTTCAAGGGACGCAACATAACCCTTGATGTCGCCCATGCAAACTCGATCGGGTTCAACTGGTCATAGCCACAATCTTCAGCAGCTCTGCCTTGATGATGTCAGGGCTCGAGGCTTCACCTTTTGCTGAAAAATGTCTCTCCTGAGAGCTGACATCTTCGGCACTTCCTCCAGCTTCTTTGAATGGTAGGGAGCATTATCTATCACCACCACACTCGCTGGAGGTAGGAGAGCGAGCAGCATGTCAACACGCCACTTTTCGTAGTGCTTTCCGTCCATCTTGTTATGGTAGCTAGACACCACTTGCCTTTTTTGTGCGAGAAACTTCCCCCGCACCTTCAAGAAACCCGTTTTCGTTGCCAACATCGCTCACGATCAGCCTCCCACCATTGCCGCTGGGCTTTTTCAACCCGGTGGAGAGTCCGGAGCGCCTGGCCTCACGCGCACTTAGCAGGGTTACGTCGGCCCAGACTTTCGAGAGGGCGTACCCGGCGTTCACTCACGTCTGGTCAGTGTAGAAAATTGGCCGTCCCTGCCCTGCTAAACGCCTGTATCCGTCGAAGGTACTGGCATCGCCACAGCACAATCTATGTCGTATCGATCAGACGGCTGTTGCGACAGCGGCACTTAAATCTAAAGCCCAGCTTCTTGACCATCCAATGGAGGGTTGCTTTGGACACACTAGGTAGGTTGTCCTCGTCGCCGAACCTCCGCTTAATCTTTGCGACCGTCGGAATTTCATTACCCCGGAAACAAAGCGTGAACAATTCTTCTTGGAACTCCCAGGTCAAAATCGTAAAATTTCTTTTTTCTCCCACAGCCCTGGCTCCAGCTCGATATGATTTTTTTTTTTGGTGAGACCACCTTGCCTCTCGCGTTGTACTCACTTGCCCACATGTAGAGAGCTCGCTTGTTGACACCGCTCAGCGCTGCCGCCCTTCGGAAATCGGCGCTAGCACTCTTCACGTTTTCTTCCTTTCACTTACTGAGCTATTTAAAGCTATCTGCTTGGCTCGCGTGGGATAAAAAGATGCTTTCCCGCGATAACGGCGCGGGGAGATCCGATGTCAGCCATGGCGGCATGGCGGTGAGGAACGCGATGAAATGCGCCCTCCGCGGCGCTCCAAATACGGTCCGTCGACGGATCTCTATCTTGGTATATCCACTTCCGTAATTATTATTTTTGCCTTTTGGTGACGCATTCTTTGAACTCACGCTGAAATGCTTTCGCAGATCCGAACCACGGTGGCAAACTGGCGACTTAGCAACCGAACTATATTCTTGAATGAAAAACAATATTGAGCCGATTACACGCTATTTGAGTAAACAAATACATAATTTAAGACCATTTAAAATTTGTTTTAATGTTTTTGCGCGCCTAAATAGTTTGACACGGAAAAATACCGAAAGAACCCGACTGTTGACACCTCATTGCTTCCACTGTACTACACAGTTTTAGCGAGACAGAGTATAGTCCGCACTGCCCGGCAGTGTTAGAACTAACGCGTTACAAGTCACGACGTTACTGGTAACGCGTTAGCCTTTTGACGAAAGTACTAACGTACTCGTTAGCATCCCAAATGACTAACGAGTAAAGTGAATGCCGTTCTCTTTTTACGGTATATTCTATCAAACTACGTAACCCGTTATTCGTTACTTTTGATTAAAAATGGCCGCATGCTTGTTTGAAAACAAAATAATTTTTATACCGTACACTACGTAAAACTGGCAAAGGAAACCCAACAAAGCTATGTATAAGCGGCGTCAACATTTCAAACTCTGGAAGACGCTTTTAACGTTCCCACGACAGGGCCCAGAAGCCGCGATATTATCGCTGCGCGTTACCATCACCATCGCCGTACCCTGAGCAGCCGTGTCGCTGGAAAGGGACATCCGTTCAGAAGGCAACAGCCTGCCGCCGCTCGAAGGATTCTACCTCAGCGTCCCTAGCTACTCCAGCTTTTTAATGCTTCTCTTTAAAACAAATAAATTATCGTTCTGTCAACAACAGAAAGGATAAACTCTAGGTTTGGAAGCGTTGACGGTCCCACGCTTTGAACCAAAACAAGTGTGGCCGGGTGCTGACGTGTCGTTAATTGGAAATACGATGTTGGTTTGTGAACGGATAAACTAACGCCTATTTTACCGGAATCACTTTGATTACACGAAGAGGTCAATTCTTCGCGTCCGTTACGTGGCATGCATTCGGACGTTCTTTACAGAGCGGTTTCTTCTTCCCAGGCAGGTGCTATGGGCAAGGTTCAATTCTCCGAGTCGCGCTGACGAAGCGTCAAGTGTTCGAGGATATACATTACTCATCCCGCCAAGGCCAGACAAACAAGCTCGCCCAGCTAACAAGTGGCATGGTTATCGCAACATTGGACGGCGACCGTCATCAGAAGGACGTCACCATCATTTAGAATTCCTGTCTGCTTGTGCTGTTCGTGTGAGTTTCCAACGTGCAAATGTGACTGTATCCCACTCCGCTGCTGGAATACTTTGGCGCTGCGAAGTATAAATAAATAAATAATTAGTCTGAAGAAGTGTATCGTTGCCGAAGTTGATAGAGCCGGTTAATTATAAACAGCTGTCATATACTAACAGTGAAACACAAAGTCATGACAAACTAACATAAAAGTAACGCCCGTTCATCATGGCATCACGACACCGGTATTTCGTTACGTCTGCAAAATGCTGACGGAGCTCTGAAACGCGTTAGCTTTTTTCAAAGCTAATGAGTAACGCTATTCCACTACTTATTTTAAGTAACGGGCACAATACTGCCGCCCGGACATGGATGGAGTAAATAGAACTTTCTCTCTCTCTCTTTCTCTCGCTCTCTCTTTCCGAGTAGTCAACAGCAACGTTAAAGGTCGGAAATATATTCGAGAAACGCGAAATGCTCCGCTTCCGTCCAAAGGTCAAAAAAAGAACCCAATCAACTTGGATTTACACGATTTTATGAGGCACCTGTGAACGGTCAATAAATACAAATTATTATAGATATTGTAACGAAAACCTACTTCTTCCATAGCCCCCAAGCATCAACGTAAGGACATTATTCATCCTCTTCATCGTTACTATCATCGTCGTCGAACGGCTTGAGGCGGTCTTTATCTTGCAATATACGAGGCAAATTCATAAAACTGTCCAATCCTACATTGAAGATGCACGTAATGGGAGGCACCCGCTCTCCTCTTTCTTCCCGGGTACGATTAAGGCTTGCGGGCCACCAGGGCCCATCCGAATCGCTTGCCTCGGTCTTGTAAAATGGGACCGTCATACTCTCCAGTGCGAAACCTCTTGATCTCGAATCCTGCATCCGTCACTGCCTTCTTGACGATTTCTATGGTGAGCACCATCATAGGAAGGGGCTCCTTGCCCACTTCGTACCAGGTGATTCCTCCCGTGCCGACCATGACCAGGAAACCTCCAGGCTTCACCAGGGAACCCATATTTGCCAGTACACGCCCGAACGACTCTGGGTCTGCCGTCGCCGCCTCCAAACAGTTGCACGAAAGAACGACGTCGAATGCTTTCCTGTGTTCCTCTGGAAGCACTCCCGGCTCCAGGACGTCGCAGGGGACCACCTTGCTGATTGCACGACGCGCTCGCTCCATGATTTCGTAGGCCCCCTTTTTGGTGTCCCTGAAAATAAGAATGGGCGAACGTATGCTCGCTTAAGCCGATCTAATGTGCATGTTCGCGACACTGAAATAAAATTAAGTCGCCACAGAAGTCTCATATTAGCGTAGAAGCTTCAATGGGCCTTGCGGATAAATCATAAAACTAAACAACATCGCGTTTATCTTTGTTTGTTTTTTATCTGTCTAGTCTTAGGCATGTACATATACTTCGCCCAACATTAGCATCGACTATACTCCGTTCACCCTTAAGCTGAGACTATATTCCTTTCACCCTTAAAGGGGTCATGAAACGCTTTTCCAACTTTTTCCTGTTTAGCTTTCCTCCTCAACTCATAAATCGCGCATTCCACCAAACAGTTAAAGAAGACGAAAAGGGGGAGTCCCCTCTTGCTCGCACTCTCGTTTGTGTAATCCGGACACATCCATTCTCCCCTAGAAGATTAGCCCGTCGCTCAAAATTCAAACAAAAGTTGCTTTCCCCAGACCGTTCATTCCGAAGCTGACAGTGCTGTTGAAGCTACGTGCTCGTTGGGCCAGCCACACTTGCCACGTGAGCGTGGCAAATGTGGCTGCAGAGAATGAAGTCAGGTGATGAAAGGGAGGCGGTTGATTGGTCCGGCAAGCCCGTAGCTTCCACCACAATGTCAGCTTAGGGGTGAAGGGAATAAGTGAGGTCCGGTTACGTGTGACGTCAGTTTGGACCCGTTGACGCGCTTTTGGGACCGCGGATGTATCACAGTGAAAAGGCAGAGAGGTTGCAAAGGGGAGGAGGTACGAAATAGTCCGCTCTGTTTTCAAATTTTCGCACTGAAAGTCAGGCTTTTGACTTTCTACCTTTTTACTTTTGGTCCACTGAACGATGTGCTATTAGTAAAATCCCAATCTAAAATGATTTATCCCAACCCAAAAATCGATTCATGGGCCCTTTAAGCTAAGACTAGAAGCTCCGCCTTCTGCGCAAGCTTTCTGCTCTTGCTAACACAACTGCGAACGCGCAGGCATGCGCCACCAAAGCACTGCGGAAGCCAGCGAGCTCACGGAAGCCAGCGGAGCTTCTAGTCTCAGCTTATGCGTCAACGGAGTATCACTGCAAAGGCTGTGCAAGCGCGAGCAGCTAACCTGACTGCCTTGACTGGAGCCCTTGCATGCTGCACGAGCACTCGTGCTGCTGCAGGGGCTTCATCTAAAGTAACTAGCTCGCGCTTTTAGCATGCGCGGATAACAATAGTCGATGCTAAGGTGTGACAAAGTATAGACCCCTTCGCTGTTAACAAACATGAACTGCCGCTTGCGTCCCAAGTGACTTCCGGTCACTCCGTCTTTGCAAGTCTCTTCAGCTTGCTGCTGTCGCCAGTGCTAGAAAGCATTAATGCTGCACCGAGAATGAAGTTGGAGATTTAACGGCGGCCTTTGACTGTACAATTTAAAGTTTTAAAGGAGACAAGTTGGTTTAGAAGAATAGTCGAAAAATTTGAACAGATCTTGCACTTCGTTCTTTTGGCGTTCACCTTGAGAATTGTAGCATGGTTGAACGTTTCATCGACATTCCAAGCAGCGGTGTTAAAGGAACTACATAATTAATTTTGGGATAATGTATTTTAGATGGGGATTTTACTAATCGCGCATCGCTTAGAAAGCCAAAATAAAGGTATTAGAAAGTCAAAAGCATTATTTTTTCGCTACGAACATTTGAAAATATAGCGAACTATTTCGTACCCTTTTTCCTTCGAAAGCTCTCCGCCCTTTCCACTATGATACATCCGCGGCACCCAAATCAAGTCAGCGGTGCCAAAACGACGTCAGCTGACCCCAGCTCACGCATTGGACACGAGCACTGCGTCACTCGGACGCATGTGCTCGTCAACAATCAACGCGCCGCCGAACATTTGTTCGGGTTCGTGGCCAGTGAGGGCCATGACGGCACTTATGATCACGTGAGAATAACAAGTTCCATGATGAACTTAAGAAGCACGGTGGAAGCTTGTGCACCACAAGCACATCACGACCACGTGATTTCTTATTTCGCTTTTGAGTGAAGGATTAAAGCTAAGAAGGAAGAAGTTGAAAACGCATTGCACGGCCCCTTTGAGGTGGTCTTTGTTCATTCTTTTGATTACCGGAAGCTCTCTAAAGCGTGTTTCACATGCAGCGGTTCCGGCCCTAGAGCGGCGCGATTTCTGCCCTCGCGGCGCTCTGGCCAGCACCAGCGGTTGAGCGGCACGAGCGCCGCGACGGCAGAAATCGCGCCGCTCTAGGGCCAAAATCGCTGCATGTGAAACACGCTTCAGACGTCAAAGACGGGAGCACCTTCTGGTCGCGTTTGCCATAAAAAGGGTCTGAGGTCTGAATACACTAAAATCCTCGTGTATGTAGAAGCCTCAAGCCGGGGTCACACTGCTCATACCATACAAAAGGCAGTCTGCGAAAAAAAGTCACCGCAATGTGCGTGGTTCAAATGCCGCGTGCCAAGTTTTCCCCTTGTACTCATTGTCATGCCGCATTCGAAGCACGGATCTCGCGGTGACTCGCGTTCGAATCTCTATCCGGATTTTGTATAATGTACACACAGTGTGACTCCGGCTTTAAGCCGAGGTCACACGGCTAATATAACATACAAAAGGCAGTCCACAACAGACTTGTACGTAAGGAGTTACGAGTAACTGATTTCTTCCAATCAATTACATTTTATGGTAATTCATGAACGCGTCAATTACTTTGTTCTGGCGGTAACGTTCACTGTAATTAAATTTTTTTTTGTGATCAATTACAAGTAATCAATTATATGTTTCCGAGAGAGCTAAAATTATTGAGTTGAACTTTTTCACTCAAAAACTTTATAGGTTACATCTGAACAATTAAAAAAGATACCAAGGTACCAGAATGCGTTTCGCTCTGACCTAATCTAGCCACAACAACCCCCCCCCCCCCTCCCCGCTCCAAACATTCCACCTCGAAAGATTTCACCGGCAGTTCGGTCAATGGAAGGAACGGGCAGAGCCAGAGCAGCGCCTCAGACTCAGAAAGAGGGCTGCGCATGCTCTCTTGGCCAACTAAAAGCCCAAAAGAGTCCCCTAGTGGTGGTAGCGAGAAACACTTTTAATAAGTCCGCAAAAGTACAATGTAGTAATTCTTCGTGGCTGAAAATACGGTACAAGAGATGTTTCGATTACAATGCAGAAAGATGGAAGAAACGAATGTGACGCTCGACTTCTGTTTTGCTCGGAGGGAGCCGAGCGCTCAGATGGCAGACGCCCGGCCCTTGGCACCTGGCGTACGGACTACGTGCCGTGGTCGAAACACTACGAGCACTAACAGCCAGAAAGCGTCCCGAAATGCGTCTTTGGCGCATCAGAACGCAAGGAGGGGCACGCCTATCAAAGGACAACATAGATAAGGCGTAGGGAACGCACGATGACGAGGCAACCGAGCCCGCGCCGCCATTCGTTGTGGTCGGGGAGAAACAAAGGCACGTGGTCGCATTTTGGGGAAAACAAAAGCACGGGCGCCGAAACAGCAGACCACACTGCCCGCCGTATGTTTTTACTCACCGAGAGTCACTGCGACGCAGTTAGTAATTTTGTTTCTAGCGACCACCGCCAGGGTATCATTCGCGGCTTCTGGCTGGCCATTTTCGAATTTGTGATCGAGTCCTGGAACACGCCCAGGCAACACTAGCTAGAAGACAAGGCCGTAGTGCTGACATTTTTGCGTCACCAGCGAAAACCAACGCTGGTCGTAGATTAGAAACAAGTGCTGCGTCAGCGCTCGGCTTCCAGTCAAGTTTGAATCGAACTTTGACAATCGTCGTGTCACATCTGCGCCCAGCGTTGGCCCTCGCTGACGACGACGTCTCTATCAGCAGCACGGCATTGTTATCTAGACAGTGTGGGCCCACCCCGCTTTCGGCCAATAGCGTCTCATCGTTTGCCTCCTATACTTCCCAATGAATGGCCAGACTTTCCATATATACGGCTCTGACGTGAGCACGAGCTGGAGCTGTTCTTCAGTGTCGCGTCAGGTATCTTCACCCGGAAACGTGGGATGATGAATAACGAGAGCTTCGATCGACAATTGCTGTTGAAGCTCAACAAGGTGTGAATGACAAAAACAAAAGCAAAATGGAACCACTTTAACACAAGGGTGAATTTTCGATTTCGTAATAAAAAGTAAAAATAAAAAAAGGAACGTAAAAAGTAATAAATTACTTTCTGGTGAGTTTTCAATTACTTCTGTGATGCAGCAATTGATTACTCTAATGAGGTACATTTTTCAATAAAGTAATTTTAATTGTAATTGTTTACTTTTTTCAGTAACCCGTACAAGAATGGTCTGCATAAGACTGTCTGAGGCGTGCTTCTTCATTTTATCATGGTCCGGTCACGCTGGTAACACAGAAACTGTCTGCAGACCGTGTTCGAGGCATGCATATGTATTCCATGAGCAGACATGCTTCGAATATGCATGAGGCACGTTTGCCGATAATTCTGTCATACTTTTCTGCAGCGAACGCAGTGTCTTTTGTACCATGTATACGAGTAGTGTGACAGCAGCTCCGGTCAGCCCTTCAGTTTCTTATGGGGGTCGTACGCACCGATGTCCCTCCAGGTCGGCGACATGTTCGGCCCGGAACGACCAGTCGACGGAGTCTACGCTCTTCCGGAGCCATTTCTCCACTTCGAGCCGGTTCCTCTCGACCAGGTCACTGACCACGATGTCTTGGAATCTCTTGGTGGCCGAGAACACGAAGTTGATCGTCGGACCAGAGCCGATGTCTACTAGCGTGCTGCCTTGGATGAGGTCTGCAAGAAATTGACGTACGCGCGTTTTAAACCACGAAGAGCCGTAAAACAAAACTGAAGATATAATGTTTTTTTCGCCTCAAGCGGTTATCGTTAGTATACAGGCACCAGGTGTAAACTAACTTGCTTACTGAGGTAGTTCGTGGTCAACGCAAATTTCCGTTAGATATGAAGATCGGTTCACACAAGGGCGTTCGCTTACAATTTCTTGCGTTACGAACAAAGTCACTGGGACGTCCGTGTTTCGGATGTCGTGTGCGAAGCTACTCTTCGGATCGGTCACCAGGCTTCGTTCGAAGCACTGATGTCCCGATGACTCGCGACGTAAACTGTCGTAAGTGGGGCTAACGTCTCGTAACGTAGAAAAACGCCCTTGTGTGAACCGACCTTCACTCTTGGACCTCATAGGTAAATCAGACTCACATATGTCTAATACTTTTGAAACCAGTGAGAATTTCATAAAACCGCTGTTTTTGGTCTTGCCATGCGTGTTGTTTAAATGTGTAGCTATTTTGACAGGGAAATATAGCCCATGCTAAACTGGTTGCAAGTATTTGTTCATGTTTTACTTCTTTTTGGAGCCGCAATTATTGTTCGTTCTGATGACAGGTGCCTCGATAAGCGCCCGCATTACATCGCTCAACGAATACGAGTCTCCCTGTGGTTATTTCGGGATCAACAAGGTGGGAGCAAGAAAATGAAGAAGAGAAAGAAACAAGAGCGAGCAGTTTGCACGAGAAAAGAGACTGAGACGAGAGACGAAGACGAAGTACAAAACGTTCTCGGGACGGACAGGGCAATCATCAAGCTCACGAGGGCTAAGGCTTGCAGCTATACGCAAGGTCTTCACCCCACGTCGAAGTCTTGCAGGTTTACGCAAGACGTCGTTCGCCAAGACGGCACAACCAAACCCGGACTCCGCCGCTGCACCACCAACGAGAAAATGAACTCTGATGAAGCTCGCCGCATCCGTGAACTGTAAGGCTTCCACTAGTATCGCTTCTTTTTTTTTCCCTTTTCTTCTCGTACAGGGTGTCACAAAAGAAAATTTACACGGTCCTTTGTACCGCAAAAATAAACTAGGCGTCGCCGAACGCTCATTCTCCGCCCAAAGGTAGAGCTTGAGGTCACAACCAGATGCAAAAGTTTCAGCCCGATCCGATAACTTAATCAAAAGTTATAAGTGATTTTCTGAAAATTTCAATGAGAAAATGAACCCCATTTTTGCCCGTTTTCGGTTTCTGGTGCCCATAGAGACCCGTGTATTCGAAAACTCCGGCGGCCGCCATTTTCCCATTGAAATTTTCAGAAAATCAGTTATAAATTTTGATTAAGTTATCGGATCGGGCTGAAACTTTGGCATCTGGTTGTGACCTCTAGCGCTACCTTTGGACGGAGTATGAGCGTTCGGCGATGCCTAGTATATTTTTGCGGTAAAAAGAACCGTGTAAATTTTCTTTTGTGACACCCTGTACTTATGTCATTCGCGCTTAAATCTTGTACTTTTTGTTTGAATCATTGTATTATCTGTCGAAATCTAAAGTTTATTTTTCTTTCTATCTATCAAACTGGTCTCGATATCCTTTCTCTTCACGTCGCATACCTGCGAGAGTGAAATAGTCTACCACATTTCTGGCGTCTTATCCAGAAATGTGGTAGACTATTTCACTCTCGCAGGTATGCGACGCGAAGAGAAAGGATATCGAGACCAGTTTGATAGATAGAAAGAAAAATAAACTTTAGATTTCGACAGATAATACAATGATTAAAACAAAAAGTACAATATTAAAGCTCGAATGGCATAAGTACAGAAAAAAAAAAGAAAAAAGAAACGATACTAATGGAAGTCTTACAATTCACGGATGCGGCGAGCTTCCTCAGAGTTCATTTCCTCGTTGGTGGTGCAGCGGCGGAGTCCGGGTTTGGTTGTGCCGTTTTGGCGGAACGAGGTCTTGCGTAAAGCTGCAAGACTTCGACCTGGGGTGATGACCTTGCGTATAGCTGCAGGCCTCAGCCCCCATGAGCTTGATGATTGCCCTGCCGGTTCCGAGGACGTTTTTTACTTCCTCTTCGTCTCTCGTCTCAGTCTCTTTACTCGTGCAAACTGCGCGCTCTTGTCTCTTTCTCTTCTTCATTTTCTTGCTCCAACCTTGTTGACCCCGAAATCACCACAATCACCCCCACTTGAGAATGTTGTTCAGGTAAAACAACTTCTAGCACATTTTAGATTATATTGTTCGCAGTCTATCACAACACAGTGCACATTAAAAAACACTTCACTTTTGACAGATACAAAAGTACATACATTTACAAAAGTCACTTAATAAGCACCGCCGGGCACACATACAATTCCAAAAATTCAGTAAATTCGTGATATTGTTCCTTTACAAAAAAAAATCTTATTCAGCAACAGACATGCGGCTTATGTGATCAGCGCCCACGTTGTTACTACCCTTAATGTACTCAACAGTAAAGCCATATTCCATCAGCATTAGGCTCCAACGTAATAGGCGGCTGTTTACATGCTTTGCAGAATTGATGTAAACGAGTGACTGACGATCACTTTGCAGAATGAATGGTCTTCCAAATAAGAACACATAAAAACTTCTTAACCGCCCAAGTAATGGCTAGTCCTTCTCGTTCTACTGTCGAGTAGGCAGCTTCACGTGGCAGCAGTCGACGGCTTGCGTACGATACGGGGTGGAGAACATGATTCTAGCGCTGCATGAGTACGGCTCCTATGCTTCTCGACGAAGCGTCGGTACGCAACACGAAAGGTTCTGATAATTCTGAGGCTTTTAAGATGGGCTGGCTGGACCAGCCCATCTTAAAAGAAGTTCTTTTACCTTGTCAAACGACGCCTGTTCGCTCTTCCCCCAATGCACCTTGTTTGGTGCTCTTTTACGTGTCAACTCTGAAAGTGGGTGAGAGATTTCAGAGTACTGGGGTACAAAATCCCTAGAGTAGCCCGTAAGGCCAAGGAATGATCGCACTTCCTTTTTTGTCTCGGGTCGATTGGTAGCTTGCACTTTCTCTAGGGTCTCGACCTGAGGACGCACGAGACCATGTCCAACAATGTGGCCAAGAAATTTGACAGATGCGAAGCCAATTTCGCTCTTTGTGGGACGGATCGTTAAACCCGCCTGCTTCACGCGCTGGAAGAACAACTCCAGAGTCGTTAAATGCTCCTCCCAGTACTCCGTGGCGATGAGGACATCATCAAAGTAGTGGTAGATGTTCGAGACCCCCTCGACCACTTTTCTCATAAGCCGGGTGAATACAGCTGGTGCTGTTTTGATGCCAAAGGGAATAAATCGAAACTGATAAAATCCAGACGTGGAAGAAAAAGCTGTCATGTGCTTTGAATCTTCGTGCATCGGAACCTGCCAGTATCCTTTAGAGAAGTCAAACTTCGAGAAGTACCGGCTTTTTCCCAGCTTTGCAAACAGCATGTCCACTCTTGGGATGGGTTCACTGTCGGGAATCAGGACCTTGTTCAGTTGTCTGAAGTCAATGCAGAATCGCATTGTCCCGTCCCTTTTCTTTACCATCACGATGGGTGCTTGATAGGGGGACTCGGAGGGCTCAATGATGCCCCGTTTTAGCATTTCTTTTACTTCCTCCTGTACCGTTTCTTGGATGGAGAACGAAATGGGGTACTGATGGACTTGAATAGGAGTGACGGTCGTGACTTTCAACTTGCACTCTACCAGGTGGGTCCTTCCTGGGACATCTGACAGACTTTCTTGGTATGTTTTCAGGAGTCTGGAAACTTGTGCTCGTTGATCGGCAGTCAGTTCTCTTGATATTTTCACGACTCGATAAATTTCGTTTTGTTGCAGTGTTGCACACGGGAGGCCTTCTTCCTCAACATTCCCATCATGGAATACGACCGAAGCTCGTTGAGGTGTCTGATCAACGATTGTCCTCTCTTCGTACTTTTTCAGCATGTTGATATGGAACAAGCTGGTTCTTGTTCCAAGGTCGATGACGTAGTCAACGTCATTTCATCTCTCTAAGACAGTGAAGGGGTCTTTCCAGGTCAGGATCAGCTTGTTGGTGTCAGATGGCAAAACGAGCAGGACCCTGTCTCCAACAGTGAGCTGGCGCCTCCTTGTCTTCTTGTCATAATAGGTTTTCTGTGCCATCTTCGCTTTCTTGAGCTGCTCTTGGGCTATTCGGCACGTGTCGTCTAAGCGCTTGCGAAGCTCGACAATGTAGCCGTACGAAGTCTTTGTCTCGTCGTCGATACACTCTCCTGACCAGAGCTCTTTCAATATGGCCATGGGTCCTCTGACGCATCTATCGTACAGTAGGTCATAAGGTGCGAACCCCAGGGAGGTCTGTGGCACTCCACGATAGGCAAATAACAGTGGTGCCAAGTATCTGTCCCAGCTCTTGGGGCTTTCCTGACACATTCGTCGGATCATTTGTTTCAGCGTGCCGTTAAAACGCTCCACAAGGCCGTTTGCCATAGGATGATACGGCGTGGTTGGCATATGTTTAGGCGAAAGCAACCGGCTGAACTCCCTCATGAGCCCAGACATGAACGATCTGCCGCGATCGCTAATGATTTCTCTGGGAAATCCCACACGTGAGAACATCTCTAGTAAAGCCTCGGCGACTTTCTCCGTTTCAATGCTGGGTAACGCAACCGCATCAGGGTAGCGCGTCGCGAGGTCAACCATGGTGAGTACATAGCGGTTTCCCTTCTCAGATGTTGGAGATAGGGGTCCCACAATGTCGATGGCGACCCGCTGGAATGGTGTTTCGATGACTGGCATGTTGCCCAAAGGTACGCGGCCTACTAATGCTTTGGGACAGTTCTCTGGCAGGTGTTGCACGACTTTACAAATCGAGTAACGTCTCCTTGAACTCCTGGCCAGCAGAACTCCTTGAGGATTCTATCTGTCGTGCGTTTAATTCCCTGATGTCCAGCGAGAATTCCCTCGTGTGACATTTTTAGCACAAAGTTCAAAAGATCGCTTGGAACAACGAGC